ACACACACACACACACACAAAATCACACACACGGCCTTTGCTCCTATCTGTGACCCCCTGAATTGTCTGTGGCTGAAATAGCTTTGATAGTGCTGACACACCTTGGCTCTGATATGAGTGTGTGTCTGCATGCACACAGATTCGAATGCGTGTGTGTTTTAGGGAGCGTGTGTGTGTGAATAAACAGTGTGCGGAGGGGCTGCCACCGTTATCTGCCGTCCATTCTGAACATTCCAACACAGCAGCAGTTAGGGAGTATCTCACACTGTCAGTTTGATATTTTTTTGTGTAAAGAAGAGTTTTATATTGTAGTGTGGGAGTCCATTCCAGTAAAACACAGGACTGACCATCAGTTCGTCTCAAGTTCAGGGAAGAGTTCAGGAGAGTCATGTAGTGGTTCAGGTTACGCTCACTCTGCAGGAAGTTTATTCATAAATACATTAATACGATCAGAGAAATGGCTCCGGTGGCTACATTTAAAGTTGAAGTTGGCAAAGACGTTGCCCGTTCACTTAACGCACTTGAGGGCTGTTGGTCAACACCACGGTGGAATTTGTGAGTCAAAAATAAAAGATCTAAAGCAAAGACAACACAAGACACTTAGGAATGAAATTACATCTAAGACTATTTGATCCAACCCTGGTCCTGCTTTTTTCTGTTGACACAACTTTCTAACCGGACTGTTGCTTACATATCTCAAGAATTGTTTCATTTTATTGGCTTCACACTTGTGAATTATCAAGGTCCCAAGGAGGTGCAGTTTTGAATTTGATGCAATTTGGACACGTGACATTTTCAATATCGACAAAAGTTGGATGAGTATGAGTCGAGCTTCACCAAACTTTGAATAAACAGGTAATCAGCTGTCTGTGCAGCTTCAGGGTTCTGTGGACAGAGTCCTGCAGCTTGTCTTTACTCGTCGTCCCTTTTAGTTTCAGAAAACTACAACGAGCATCACCACAAGCCAAGTAAACAGTCTATTCTAAAAAAAATTAAATAGATAAAGATATTAAAATGTGTTCATCCCTCGAGCGATAGGATAGCAGGATTTGATAAGTAACAAATGAGGAGTGATGAAGAGTGACTGCTTTTAAACCTTAGTCTTCTCCCTCCATCCATCACACCCTTCTCACTCTGCGTATAAATCAAGTGCTGCATTGGAGAATCCGGTCAATATAAAACATTTATTACTCTTCCTCCCTCGTCTACCTGAAAGGTGCTAAGAACATCTACTTCCCAGCATCCCTTGGTGTTCCTTACTGATTCAGAGAGCACATCCGCGATCGATAAAGCAACAGTTCTCGAGGTGCTGTGAATTAAATCGGAGCTCTGTAAAATTAAAAACAACACTTAATCGTTCTGCATTCAAAGACTTGATCAGGGACCTGCGGATGGATTTCTTCCCAGGAGCTGATTCATACTGAAGTCAGCATGTGCTTACCTTCGGTGGAAATAACAGGTAAACTGGAAACATGTGTTCACAGCCCACAACTGAGCACATAAAAAGCATGAGGCAAAAGAAGGTGTTTGAAAGAAAGGAAGTGAGACCTGGTGAGAATAAGTGTGTGTTGTGCAGACTCGGGTGATTACAGCTACAGACAGGGGCAATTATTTTTGGTCTCAAACCTATTATATCCTCCATGTTAGCAGATGGGACAAGGGCCAAATTAAAAAGTCAAAGAATGCGCCAAATCATCTTTTCTCCAAAGTAGGTTTCTGTAACATGAAGTAGTTCCTATCACATTGTTGTATGTGTGTAAATGTTCATGTCTTGTGTCATGTCACGTTAATACCGGCTGACGGAGCGACGCTATGATCAGGTAATTAACTCGCTGCAAACAAGAGCTCCAGATGTTTGTGGACTAGACAGTTTTTGTGTGTTCTCCAAACATAATTCCTACTAAAGCGTTCTCATAAGTGTAGTAGATCAAATAGGCCATGTGCATGTGAGTGTGCATGCAGAGGTGTGTTTGTACCTTGAGATGCTGGAGTTGCCTTCGGTCATCATCCAGCTGCCTCCTCTTGTTTTCAATCTCTGTCTGCTTCTTCCTTTTCTCCTGTTACCACACAGAGACACTATGATTACTCTGCGCTCGCTGCACAAAGTGGACACAATAATATCAGGAACATTGTTATTCCAGTGTTTTCCCCATGATGTGTTGGATGTGGTCGATATTCATAAAGTCAATCTCAAACTCTGGCATTTTATGGCCAAGAGCACCAAAACATTTCAATCATTGCCAAGCTTTTAATGCTAATGAATGCTAATGTGCATTAGAGTGCTAATGAATAAATGGGAAGCTTGAATGGCTGCAAGTGTAATTCATTGTATTTGTATGTAAGGGAAGGACAGATAGCACTTGATGTATTACAATAAATGTGTATTCATAGGTTCCACTACTGATAGTAAAAGTTGTTTTTAGAAGTACTCTGATTCTGTGTTGGGATGTAATGAAGTGCATTTACATTAGTCTAAATAAATTTGTATCTGTACTATGATTAGATTTAGTTTCAGGTTTCAAATTTTTACAGCAATCTATAACGAGAGGGGAATTTATCCATTGATCTAATCAGAGCGGAGCGGGAGGCTTGGGAGAGGCCGAGACGCAGCCATAATGATGTAGTACACTGTTGCATTATGGAATACAATACACTAAGCAAGTAAGTTTACATTTAATATTTTGCGTACATTGAAAAGCAGGTTAGTTGAAAATTGAATGTGGTAATTTTACTTGCTAAAAGTTTTGTGTATTTATTTGTCCAGTCCAGAGATATTAATTGAACGACTCAACCTTTCAGGATTATCTAAAATAATGTTTTGAATGGACACGCAATCGTTTTGAGTTATTAGGCTGTGGCCACTCAAAACAAACCATGTTCAAATGTGTTTTAGTCACTGTCGGACACAAATTGTACGTTTGCCAATAAAATTGTGTCTCTTATTCGATATACCATAATTTATCTAAGTATCTAAAAATAAGAGGCTGAAAGTACAAAAGACCGACTGAGCGCAAGGGGAGGAGGAGACGCACTGAGAGACACAAGGACGGACAGAAAAAAGGCATCGAGCTACTGCATTAGCTTTGGATGTCTGCTAATGGGTGAAGGAGATGGGATCTAAAAGGTTGAGTCATTAGGACGCACAGTCAGATCCTGACAAGCAGCAGTGATTTGTTGTTCGTACAGTGAGCAGCCTGGCCTGATGTGCACCCTGTGTGTGTGTGTGTGTGTATGAGGGATTATGAAGAAGAAGAGACCGTGTGAGTAGAACTAACTTACAGAGATGGCCTGGAGTCTCTCCTCTTGTGACACCTCAGCCATCCTGATGGAGAGAGAGAGAGAGAGAGAGAGAGAGAGAGAGAGAGAGAGGGAGAGAGGTTACAACCACATGACCACCAACATCAGACGTTACACACAGTGACACACAACCCTCCTCAGCTGTAACGTTCATTCACCGGCTATTTACCTTCCAACGACTTCCCAGTGACTGAGGTTAAATATATGTCTGTTGGCACTAAATCAGTGTCTCTTTTTCCTGCCACTGGAGGCATGCTAATGTGCTAGCTGGGCGCTGTTGGAGATTCCTGCTCTAATGGGTTCCAGACCCAGAGCTCCAGGATGGAGGATGGACGGAAGCGGAGCTGAGGCCAGAAGGGAAAGTACTGCGACTGTTGCTCCTCGGAGACTGGACGAAGCTAAGACTATCGTATATATCGACTATTTATCGTATAAATATATATATATATATATATATAAACAAGGCCAAGGTCTCTTTCAACACAACTGTGCGATCTTAACAGTATACTGGAGTGTAATACACTACATAATACTGCAGTATGTATGCAACCTCTTGCCACTAAGCATGAGATTTGTCAGCTGACAAAAACAAAGCTGTGGTCTGATGATTTAAAAAAAAAAAAAAAGTGAAACTGTACAAGAACAAGAGTGCACACTATCTTTCATTTTTCCAAGAGGGTGGTACAGTGATTAGCACTGTCGGCTCACAGCAAACTCAGTGTGGAGTTGACATGTTTTTTCTGTTTCTATGTGGAATTTCTTCGTGTGCTCCAGTTTCCTCCAGAGTCTAAAGACATGACGATGTCCTAACTCTATGGGCTGTCTTTAAAAACACGACACAGTTTGTCTTTTCCAGCCTGAACTGAATCTGCATCACGACACATATGTGATCCTCGTTTCTCTGCACTGGTCCAAACCCTTAGAAAATTACTATGACAAAACATCTCAACATCACTCTCCACCCACGCCTCTCCTCCACCAGCAAAATGTGTTGAACTCGTGTGATTGTGTCACTGCCTCTGATGAGTCTCCAGGACTCCCACAGTCACTATTTGAATTTTCTTGCATCATTTCTCACAAAGCTTGAATTGTGAAGAAAAAAAACTTTCCTTCTCTCTCACTGTTGCTGTAGGGTTTGTGTGATTGCTCCATTTTTCCCACACATGTAGTGCAACAGCACCAGCTCCTCTCAGGACATTAAGAAGCATACATTTGGTTTCATGCTTGTTAGTCCACTGTCCAACCGATGAAGCTGTAGCACCGACAGAAAACCTCAGGGGTGTATTATACTGAGCACTCCGTAACATGCAGAGTAACTGTGAACATTTCTGTCTTTTCTGCATATGCACGCACACACACAAACACAAACACACACACACACTGCTCTCACATCACCATCACATGGAGCCCCTTCAGAGAAAAAAAAAATCAAACCACAATCATCTGATCAACCCATCAAGAGCACACATAAACCAAGATGAACATGTCTAATCTTATTTTGTGTTTTAATTGTGGGCTGACAGTGTTTTATATCCTGTTTTCCCTCGGGTTCTCCATCCCCTCCCAGCCCTCGGGTTACCATGGAAGCATGGCAGCTCGCACACTGTGCATCTGGAAGCTCATCTGGATCATTTCATCAGGCCTGGGAGCTCTGGCTGAATTCTGCTGTTATTAAATGACTGACCATCCTGACCCGGGAGAGGTCACCCTGAGCGTGAGCAGAGAGGAGGCGGGACCGCAGCTCTCAGGAGAGTGGAGGTACAGATGGAGCAAGTCACACGTTTTCTTATTAATGTCATTGATGAAAAACATTTCCCAGAGAAGAAGAACTCGACTTAAACACAAGACCTTTGTCTGACTGGAAATTTCAAAGCTTAAGAAAAATAAATAACCTCATAATTTCACTAGAAGGAGACTCAGAGAGCACATACCTCTGGCAACGCAAATGCCCTTTATCTCTCCATGTCCTGGATCCGCCCCCTGATCCGGATCTGCGCCAAATAAGAAATCTGCACCAGGTTCATTTCGTGCTCCAGTAAGTTAATCTGTTCAGTAGTTTTTGTGTAATTCAGCTAACTAACGAACAAACATATAAAAATATAACCAATTGAACATTTAATGCCACATTAACGATGAATATATATAGTAGCACACATGTAATATAGTTATCAGGTCAGTGAGTGCTTATCAAACAAAACATGAGTAGAATATCATGAATATCAAGGCCCAACAATCCCTTTATTAAACCAGATTTAATATTTTATTAGCTTTTTATTTGGATCTGCAACAAGTTACGACCACTCATAAATATGCCAGATTTTGAAATATGAGGAATCAACGACAATGTTGACTAATGTTAAAGAAAACAAGTCCTGGGTCCGCACCAAAATTCTTTGGGTCATGCCCCACCCCCAACAAGATTTCATGGAATTCGGTTGAGGAGTTTTTGCATAATCCTGCTAACTAACAACACAACACCAACAAAAACATAGCGCTCCTTGGCGAAAGTAATTACATAATATATATACAGTATATTGAAATTCTGAGCTTTAGCTTCTTATTTTCCGGATGCAATTAATTAAGTGAACTAAAAATCTTTTATTTTTCTTTCATGATTTTAATCTTCACATTTCTCACATGAGGATAACTGAGCACCCTCCCTTTATTGTGCAAGTTGTGCAAAAAGCGAGTCCCCCCGCCTCTCATAAATTATGGACACACAGGGAGAGAGGAAAGCAGACAAGTAGACCAGCATCTTTGCAGCATAGTTAATTACATTATAATTACATATATGACAGAGAAAGGAAGACATCCAGTGAGGCAGGCAGTCACTCACAAACAGGCCAGCAGAGACATGAATATGATAGAATAGAGTAAATCGGTGAGACAGGACTGTGGGGGGGGCAGTGGGGTTATCCGTGAGACAGACAAAAGACATATGCTCCCGAAAATGATGGATGTTTTTGACAGCATGTCAAGTCAGGTGTAGAGACGGGGAAACCGACTAATGACCCGCCTTATTCCCTGCTGAGTGCACTGTTCCTGTAGCATTTCCAGGAACACATTAACTGCACTGCACAGCGCACCAGCGTCCTCCTCTAATAGCATTGAGCTCATGCTCCTCTGGCACCAGCAGTTTACACACACACTCTCTATCTGCACGGAAACGCCCTAAAAGTGATTACTTAAATACCCATGGTGCTCAATGTATAACAATCCTGCTGAGCATCTTTAGGGGATGTTGGCCCGATCATGGATTTACGACTCCTCTCTCCAAGGTGAGAAGATATGGTTTTCCTCACAGTGAGTTGGCTGAATGCTCCAAACACGATAATTAGATGCAGCTCTGCCTTAAACATCACTTTAAAAACCTTTTAAAGTGCTTTGTAAATGAGGGACAAAGTTTTCTTACATCCAATTGCACCAATATGTTCCAGAGTCTGGGAGTTAAAAGGTCACACTGCAGCATGCATGAGAGCAGACACACTACGTGACTGCAGGACGGTCAGTGTGTCTTTCTGTGGGCAGGAGTGGCAGATTACACCAGGTTCATCACCGCTAATCTAGGATTATTTTAAACTAACGCCACAAACAATCTGGAATTGGACACTGTTGCATACTGATTCTGATCCTGCGTCCTGCAGCTGGTCTTTACTCCCCACAGCTCAATCCCTGCAGGTCACTTTTATAGTTTCAGAAAAAAGAGATGCAACCACAGGCCAGACAAACAGTCCATTCCAAACAGGCAGGTTTAGAATGGGAACTGCACCAGTAACTATAAATAAAAGTAAAACACTTTTACACACATTATGTCAAATCTAAACATGAATGCACATCTTGAACGTTTTCATGTCGGCAAACATTAACGCAGATACTGATTCCACCATAAAAGGCTGATATTGGCTGGTTATGGGCCAATCGATAAACAGGTCCGACCCTAGTGTAACTAAATCATTGCTGTGTTTTGAATGGATCTCATTTCTGAATGAGATCCCTGATCGGAAATGTCTGTGAACCACACTGAAAAGAATTCAGAGGCTTGTTGGCCCGTAAGTGACATTCTTGTTAACCATTCCGAAACCAGAGAGGAAGATCAGCTCGAGCGACGGGTTGGTCATGAAGCCTGAAGTGGAGGAGAAAAGACAAACTGAGAGATGAATTATGTTCATTATCGATGCTCTCTTACAGCAGCTGCATTTCACAAAAACAAATAATAAACTGGAAAATATCCTCTAATGGCTCCAGTTATATGATGATGGCAAACACCTTCTAACAACCTCATAAGTGTCTTCTGAAAAGGAAATGTGTTCACTCAGGTGTTCATTTAGAAGCTTTTAATGGAAACTGTGCAGCCATAATGAAAGTCATATGCAAGCCTGCTCACAAAAAATTAACTCCTGGCAAATAACGAGGTAGGAAAATGATATGGTGGAGGAAAGATTTGATGAAAAATCACTATTTATTATTCTTAAAATCTAGAAAGACTCCAGATGTTGCTAAGATTGTCATTTCTGATTATTCTAGGATTAGATAGCGTGCACAGAAACACACACACACACACACACACACACACACACACACACACACACACACACACACACAGAGACAGCACTGTCTGGCACAAAATTGTCTCCTCTACATCGAGATAGATGACTATAAAATTGACTCTTGAGCTCAATGACCCGAGCCCTGCATTTCAAAAACGGAGCGTCTCTGGAAAAGGAAACTAATCCCAAATCCCCTTCACACTCGCTGCGTTGGAGTGGCACTTCTCTCTCCTTCTCTCTACTCCCCACTTCCACGGCTTCCTTCCTTCAGGCCAAAAGAGCGCAGGGACAACAATACTCTCTCCCTCCCTATCTGCTTCTGCCACACACATACATTAACAAACATTCACCCCCCCCAAAACACACACACACACGTGCACACTCGTCCCAGGCCGGCACGCATACCACGACCACTCCGCCTGCATCACACAAGCAGCTCTGCATCCTTCTCTCCAAAGCACAACACAAATTGTTCCCA